TGTATTTCTTTGATTACTAGTGAGGAAGAACCTTTCCCCAAATGTTTGTAGCCAGTGGGTGTTTCATTGTTTTTGACCATTCAGTTCATTTCCTGTCCATTAAAACACTATTTTAAGCATTTTCCCAAAAGTACTGTCGGGAACCGCTTGTTGGGAATTTGTGGAAGAGTTTCTTACATGTCTCTCATTCAGTATATACTCTGGATAAGGGGCTGGATCAGGTCAAGACTGGGTTTCTTTTGGCTTTGTTATTTTATGATTTGTGGGTATACAAGTCTGTGGAGTTAGGAATTCAAAAAGAAACTGACAGGGGTGCCTGGTGGCTCAGTCAGTTAAGCATCTGCCTTTGGCTCAGGTCATGATCTCTGGGTCCTGGGATTGAGCCCCATGGCTGGCTCCTTGCTCAGCGGGGAGCCTGCTTCTCCCTCTGCCACCCTTCGCCGCCCCCCCACCATGCTCTCTCTCTCAAATAAAGAAATAAAATCTTTAAAAAAAAAAAAAAAAAGGAAAAAGAAACTGATAAACTCTGGTCCATTAATTTTCTTAAGAGCCAGCTCACATCATCTTTCCCCTAAGAAGCAATCCAAGTCTCTTGTAACCAGAACTAATTGCTGCCTCTTTCATATTTGTTCAGCAACTTGGTTGTATTCTTATTTGGTACTTCATTTTTTTCATTTTTCTTTTTTAAATTGTTGGTTAGAGATTTTCTATCCTACTTCTTTATAAGGAAGGCCCTGAGGGCAAAGGCAGTGTCAGTCTGGTTCACCCTTGTCTTTGTGCCCCCACTGGCTTAAGGACAATATTTCAGACATACAGTATGAATGACCTGGCTGTTTATATTTATAGCTATCATAGCCCTTAACATTTACTGTTCTTTGCAAAGTTACCTGAAAATACTGCCTTCATGTATCCTGAGGCCAGGGAATAGCATACCTATGGTAATGTGTGATCCTCCCAGCCTTGCAGATCTTGACTCATTCAGTAGTAGATTTTGTTCACAGGAAATGGAAGCTGACCAGGACCTGTAGTGACTTGCCTAGGTGTTGGGTTATGTTATCATTGGGTGTTTTCACTTTGCCCAAAACCAGGTATCTTCTGGGGGAGAGACTTAACTGGTTGGGACCTGTACAATTTCATTATGATGATTAGATTTTTGTAGAGCGGAACCTCAGTAAACCACATGCTCTTGTGAGAATTAAGTCAGATATGGCCATAGGAACAAGATTAGATATTAGTGTACTGAAATCGCACAGAGATCATAAAAGGCATTTATTAAACTTAATGTATATTACTTGTCTATACTACATTCCATCATAGAGATTAATATCAGTTATTGGCGACGTTGACAGCTTTTGATGTTAAAGAATTCTTACTTTGTAGTGAGCTATGCTCTCTTTTTCTGGTTTCTCCTATTCATTCCCTACAATTTGGGCATTTTCATTGTCATTAGCACTTAATATCCCTAACGGCATTACTGTGGTTGTCCTTATTTAACTCTACTTCAATGCTGTGGATAATTTTAGTCTTCCTCATGTAGTTTTCCAGATAATAGCACCTTCAGCATGTGCTTTAATGAAAATTGTAAGACTACCTGCCTTTTCTGGGTAGGTAGGGATTCTTTAGTTGTTATGAACTTTTCCCATAATGTTAGAATTTTCTGCACTAAATAGGACTTTTCATTCCATTTGGCATACATTTATGAATGCTGTCACATGTCAGACACTGTGCTCCATCTGTTAATGCAGAGGCATTAAGCCATGTGGTAAAGAGCAGTAATAGAGGTGGGCACAGGTTCTGGGGGAGCATAAATGAGGGGTATTTAGCATATCCATGGAGAGTGTGAGGAGGGTGGGGAGAGTGCCAGGATCATTGGAAGGCAGCAGTTCAACTAAGTTTTGAAAGATGAATAAGAATTACTTGGTAACAGGGATGGTTTTTAATCAAGGCAAGGCCAGAGAGAAGGAGACAGTTTAGAAGCTATTGCTGAAGTACACACTACCACCTTTGCAATATTCTTGTGAAAAGCTTTGAGCTAAATTGGATCAAGCCTCTGTATTTAACTCATACTAATTTACTGGAAATATAGGTGATGGAGCAGCGTGTTAAAGGACACCATGGGGGGTGTAGTTAGCAAAGCCCAAAATGTGGGAAAACAGCCTGGATTTTTCAACAAATAAACTACAAAAAAAAGAGAAGGGAGGGATTATGGATTAAAAGAGATTAAAAGAGACATCAGTGAAATGCAATATATTGTCCCAGTTGGACTCTAATTTGAATAAATCAACACTAAAAAATTTGAGACAGTTGGAAAAATTTAACCATTGAGTGGATAGTTGATGATATTAAGGGATTTTTAAAATTTTGGGTGGCAATAATATTGTGGTTTTGTTAAAAAAATGTTCTTTTAGATGTACAGAATAAAGATGAAATGAAATTATGGCTAGAATTTGCCTTAGAATGATCCCATGTGGGCTGGGTGCTGTGTGTGGGGAGGGTAGAAGGGCCACAGATTTTGAAGCTAAGTGATGGGGGTACATAAGCAGCTTATTATGCCATTCTTTCTACCTTTGTGTTTGAATGTTTCTTTTTTTTTTTTTTAAAGGTTTTATTTGACAGAGAGACAGCGAGAGAGGGAACACAAGCAGGGGCAGTGGGAGAGTGAGAAGTAGGCTTCCTGCAGAGTAGGGAGCCCGATGTGGGGCTTGATCCCAGGACCCTGGGATCATGACCTGAGCTGAAGGCAGACGCTTAACGACTGAGCCACCCAGGTGCCCCTGTGTTTGAATGTTCCTATGATTTTTTTTTTTTTTTTTAAGATGTTGCTATATTCTGGGCAAGAAATTTGAAGGACCTGAAATAAAGCACTGGCTGTAAGGATGAAAAAAAAGGATAGGTTTGAGGAATAAGTTATGAGACAGTTATACTTCGATGTCTGGGGCTGGAGGGAGGGGTGTCTAAGTTTATGGTTTGGGACCTGAGTACTGTTACCTGAGATAGGGAAAAATGGAAGCAATATATCTTGAGTGGTTGGTGCTGGGTGGTATTGGGTACTTGTTTTGGGACATACTGATATGAGATAGCCAGGTAGAGATGCACAGCAAAGTCAGAGCTAGATGTGGATCAGAATGTGGGTAGTAGTTAACTCCAAGAAAGGATGAGATTGCCCAGGGAGAATATGTAAAACAGGGAAGGGGTGCCCCTGATAGCAGAAAAAGAGAGAGAGCTACTTAGGATTCTGAGAGGAGTGGTCAGTGAGGGAAGAAAGTATGATTTTTAAGAAAATCAAGGAAATAGGAAGTTTTAAGAAAGGTATAGGAACTTTGACAGATCCAGTAGGAAGGTCAAGTAGGATAAGAACTTGTCTAGTTCCTCTTGATTATGAACATTAAAGGCCTTCGGGGAACCTGTGGGGGTGAGGGGAAGCTTTGTGAATACACTATATTGATATTCTATAGTTATCAAGTCCCTTTTGTGTGGATTAATAGAGACTATAGCATATTTGTGTTGATTAGCTAGAGAGTTATGATTAAAAGCAAGAGAACTTTTCTTTAATTGGAAATTAAGATCATTACCCTTCGTTCCCTCGGTGCCATTAACTTGAAAATCATGTTCGCTTGTACAAAGACCTTATCAAAGTTTACTTTAGTTCTCTGTGAAATTTTGCTAATTGACCCAAAGGTAGTGGCACTGAGGCTGTCCTAGGAGTTCAGACTTTTAGAATTGTGAAACCTGTCTTAAAGCCAGTTTCACAGTGAATCTGGTGCTGTGCTGATACTCTTCAAGGTAAATACAAAATCTTAGCAGTAGGCAAAGATTATGTGGCTTATTGTTTACTTTTTTTAAAGATTAATTTTTTTAGATTTCTGTCTTAAAAATTGTCCCCCCCCCCCTTTTTTAAGATTTTATTTATGTATTTGACAGAGACAGCGAGAGAGGGAACACAAGCAGAGGGAGTGGGAGGTGGGGAAGCAGGCTTCCCTCTGAGCAGGGAGCCCGATGCGGGCCTCAATCCCAGGACCTGGGATCATGACCTGAGCCAAAGGCAGACGCTTAACAACTGAGCCACCCAGGCACCCCTGTTTTCCTTTTCTTTAGCTCTTTTTATTCCACATTGCGGAGGAGATAATGGGAGTGGACTTGCCAGGAAAAAGCTAGCCATCAGATGCACTGTGATGTCTTATTGCTCCCACCACCATATGACTGTCGGTATCTCTGTAGGGCTGCAGTATTGACAGTCGTGGCCTTCTGCCACTCTTCTACAGCCAAGAGAGACATTTTGTAGGAAGGACACAGCCCTCTGCCCTTCTTGCCATCCTCTGTGCAGGAATCTTATAATTTGTATTTATTTTCCTGTAAGTACAGAACTGTGAGAACTTGTTTCATTTGAAAAACCCTCACACAGCAAACTGTACAGCCCACATAGGGACAAAGGAATGATTCACCCTTTTAAAGATCCTTTTCCTTAATTTTTTTTAAATTTTAAAAATTTTTTAATTTATTCATTTGAGACACAGAGAGAGAGAGAGAGAGAGTGCATGAACAGGGGGAGAGGCACAGGGAGAGGGAGAAGCAGGCTCCCCGCCCAGCCAGGAGCCGGACAGACGCGGGGCTCGATCCCAGCACCCTGGGATCATGACCTGAGCCGAAGGCAGACGCTTAACCATCTGAGCCACCCAGGTGCCCCTAAAGATGCTTTTCCTTTAGTTGCTAACCTCTGACCAGAGTACCGTGTAGTCTGAGAATTGAAATGTACCCATTTTTCATAAGACAGTTGAGAATTTGGTTGCCGGAAGGGGCCAGTGAGAATGCTTCTGTCTTCCCAGAGCAGCATTTAGCCCACACTGGCTGCCACTCCATTGCCTGTTGAGTCATTCCCACAGTTCTATATAGAGCTTTTCTGGCTTTTCTTTTAAACATGATGTTCTTGGAGTGAGAAAGAAAGGAAGTTTTTCTTTCCTCCACAAAATCTCCCCCACCCCAAATCTGCATTACTTTCCTTTTTCTAATAACAGAATATTGCCCTCAATCATTCTGAGACTGTTTTCTCTTCTGAGGTCTCTTAGTGCTTTCATTTATCATTGGTTTGACTCTGTGAGCGTTTTGGCATTTGCTGGGCTGCGTCTGCAGCAGCAGGCTTTCAAGATACAGGCTGCTACTTAGCCAGAAAGATTGAGGAATTCTAGCTAAACATACCAAACATGGATTTCTAGTTTTCAGCTGTTTAAAAGTCAATCAGATATGCCAACAGGCATCTTATTATCCTTATTATCACGATCAGTTAGTAAAAAGGACCGTAAAGGAAATGAATGAGCTTTTCACTTCAGATAAATGAAATTGCTGTGATTTGAAAGGATTTTGGTTTGTTTTTGTTTTTGCAGTGGAAGGTAAAATGCCCGTGTTTGTTCTTATTCAGAAGAGCCTGCTCTGTGCTAGTGGAAAAAGAATTAAAGTTTCTTTATCAGGAAAGGGTAATTGTTATGTATTTGAACTTTCGTCTTATGTGTTCCATACATCTAGCAAGGTCATAACACATTTTAGAAAAGTCAAATAGCATCAGTAAACTGTCTATTGACAGCCCAAATGTCTCACACAGGAACAAGTTATGGGGCCCTTTTAGGGGACTGGCAGATCTGAAAGACAAATTACAGCTCCGGAATGTATTCAGATGACTTTTTGAAACAAATATTTTAATTGAAGTTGGGGTGGAGAAATAGTTGCACTTCTGTAGTTAAATGTTCAACTTCCTTAGCCTGTTATCTATAAATATCACAGATGAAAAAGCCCGTAGAACTCTTTTGCAGAAAATTAAGTCACCATACATATTCATCTGTATGCATGTGTGTATATGTGCCTGATTCCCATCCTCACCTCCCACTAATACGTCAGTAATTGGGCTGTTTGTTTCAAAAGATTGGGTTGTTTGGATTATGTTTAATCTATTGCTCTAAACTGCATTAGCAGCAACGCCCCTTATACTGAAGGTTTGGAACAAACCTCATCTTCTCTTCCTGAAAAGAGGGGAAAAAAGCAGTTGATCTGTGTTCTGAAGGTCTCTTTCTCTATGTGTCTCCCCTCCCCCCAGAGACGAACAGCAAGGAGGAGGAGCTCACTCACTGTTCTAACCACACTTCATAGGTCTTAACTTGAGCGCCTGTTGGTTTCCTGTCAGCAGTAATTCAACTCTGTGCCATCTTGACTTGCTTGAAGGGTGGATAAATTGGTAACTGCACTGAGGAGGGGAGTGAGTTCTCACAGTCTGAGCATAAGGCACGAGACTGAATTTATGAAAGCTTTGGTAGCCTCTGAAGACAACATCTTCTGTGACTTTGAATTTTTTCATTGTATTTGTGGGCTGCTGTTTCTGAGAAGAATCTGTCATGACTCTACTGGAACCTGAGATGTTAATGATGGCCGTGCAGTCCGGTAATTCCGTATTTCCTGCAGATTCTATTTGCCACAGGTTTCTTTAATAAGGTTGGGTATATCTGTACTAGGTTTGGATAGAGATGGGAGGAAGATAGCTGGGAGTAAACAAATTGTCCAGTGAATGTACTGTATGTTCGGGTTTCTATTGTAAAAAAAAAAAAAATTAGTAGTTTTTTCTAGTTGTAAGCTCTAGTTACTCTAGTTATTCAGACATAGCTTTGTTTTAGATGTTTACTGACTTAAGACTGTTCAGTGAGGGGAAGAAAACATTTCCCTTTAGTTAAGTGTTTTATTATTATCTGTAGCACTGCTTTTAATGTAGGATAATTAAATCGCTTTTGCTGTTTTATACATTATTGTCTTTAATCACTAATCCACACTCTATTACTATGTCTCTTCGTGAAAGCATGTTTAAAAATTTTCCTTCTTTCTCATTTTGTGGTATAACCTTCTGAATCATCTTTTGGTTCTTGGAAATGCTCTTGGTAATACAGAAGATTGAGACTGAGTTTTGAAGATGGGGAAGTTTGAGCAAGAAAGTAGTAAACAGAAAGAATGTAGGATTTTTAAAATTCTGTCTCTAAAAACAGTTTTCTCAACTCAAAAGTGTCTTTTATAACAGTTTAAAATTCCAGTTTGTTTTTAATGGTTTCCTTTACTTTTAGTGTTTTTGAAACTTGTAAGTTAGATATCTAAAAATAGGGAATGTTCTTTCGTTATTTTTAGTTCTGCTAAAATGTAGTCTGTAGTGTTTTCCTGTTTCAGAGCATATCTTGAAAGATTCATACAAGTGGCATTTGCGGACCTCTTCCCCTCCACTGGCTTTCACTCATTAGAATGAGATAGGCTCCTTGGTTTGGGGAGATAACTGTCTCTGGCAGAATTGGTCTTACTGTTCTCCTTGGGGAACACTTAGATAGTATGTTGAAGGAGACAGATATCCATCTGAAGACAGGATCAGATGCCATCAGCTTAAGCTTTATGGACAGGGGGCAAAGAGGAAAGATACTGCTACCATTCTGTTCTGTCTAGTTTTGCAAATAGGACCATGATGAGTCATTTATTAGTTGAGTTCTTCTGTTCATATATGCTATACTTTTTAGGTTGTTGACTGTCATTTTCCTCCCCCAGATCTCTTGAGCTCTGTGTTCTTTTTTTTTTTTTTTTTTTAAGATTTTATTATTTATTTGACAGAGAGAGATGGGGGAAGCAGGCTTCCCTCTGAGCAGGGAGCCCGATGTGGGGCTCGATCCCAGGACCCTGGGATCATGACCCGAGCTGAAGGCAGATGCTTAAGGATTGAGCTACGCAGGTGCCCCTGAGCTCTGTTCTAAACAAGATAGTATTATCTGTTTCCTACCTGTCTTTGATGAAATAGCTCCTAGTTAAACTGATTCAGGGTTTGTTTTGTTTTGTTGCCCTTCTCTGTGTTCTAGTTGTCTGTTACATGTGGGCAAGTGCATATTTTATCTTAGGGAGTATAAATTAGCATTTGAACTCTCTCTCCCTTCTTTGATTGCTTTGTTACTTACAGATTATCTCAGTCCAGTAACTTTTCTTAATAAAGGTTAAAAGATTATTTGCTCTCCCCTGAGGGGGTCTCACTGGTTCCCAGCTGGATAAGGGAAAGGGACTAACTTGTCTTGCCTAAGCGCTATTTTTCCTATGACATATGTTGGGCAGGGCTAGCCACCCATCTGTTGGACCAACTACTTCATAAAACTTTCAAAGGATAATAGTTTGTAAGACAAGTATGGATAAAATTGACAAGGCTGTTGGGTACAGGTAGAATGAAAGGTCTGTAGAGAATAAATAGCATATATGTGTACCTCTGTCTTTTGCTTATATTCATAAAAGAGAAACTGGGTATAGCAAACTGATTTCTCTAGTACATGTGGTTCCTAAATGCTCAAAATTTTTGTAAAGTTGTTACTGTTTTCTTCTGAAGCTGTAGTCAATATGCTGGATTGCAACAATAATATGACAGCTATATTTATGATAAGAAGTGAAAAAGCTCATTATGAAGGCTTGATAAGCTAGAAGTCAGTCATTCTTTCTAAAAAGTCAAGACATTTAGACTATATGAGCCATAGGTTATTCTAGCAATACAGTATTTGGATTTTTATGAATATATACTTTATAGGTGAAACCACTGTTTAATAAGATTTTAAAAATAAACTCTTTTAGACAAGATTGAGGATGCAAAGTCTTTTTTTTTTTTTTTTTCCTTCTTATAGCCATTTTCAGGGACCTTAAGGACTTCAGGGTCTTTAAGGCTCGTACCATGGCATTCATATTGCCAGCGTTTTCTCAGTTTCTGCAGGAACACATTCAGGTAAGCAGATTCATCGGCTGGCTTCAGGATGCAGTCTTTCCCCTATATTAAACATGAGGATACTGACTATTAGAGCAAAGTTCCAGGGTACATTGTGTATTTATTAACAGTTTAAAATTTTTTAAAGATTTTATTTATTTATTTGAGAGAGAATACAGAGGGAGAGGGAGAAGCAGACTCCCCACTGAACAGGGAGCCCAATGCAGAGTTCGATCCCAGGACCCTGAGATCATGTCCCGAGCAGAAGGCAGACACTTAACTGACTGAGCCACCCAGGGGCCCCACCAGTTTTCATTTAGTATCTGGAACTTGGCGATTTTGGTGAGACATACTTGCATATAAAGACTTTCATCTTCCTTAGTGCTGATGGTCTTTTTTTTGTTGTTTTTTAAGATTTTTAATTTTATTTATTTGAGAGAGAACACCCAGAGAGAGAGAGAGTAAGCACAAATGGGGGGCAGAGGCAGAGGGAGAAGCAGGTTCCCCTCCGAGCAGGGAGCCCCATGCGGGCTCGATCCCAGGACCCTGGGATCACAACCCAAGCCGAAGGCAGATGCCTAACCGACTGAGCCACCCAGGCGCCCCTGCTGGTGGTCTCTTACTGACCCCTTGAGATCCAGTTCATATGCTGCCTTTCTGTGAACCCTGTCTGAATAGAGTCAGCCCTTCCTTCTCTCTGTTCCTACAGCACCATCTTTACAATGTAGACAAATTATCATTTTTACCTATCTCTCTAATTAGATTTAGTAATCTAATGCAGTATATCATCTATATATGGGCACATGGTAGATGCTCAGTAAGTTTTTTTTTTTTTTTAAATAAATGAAAAAATTTGGTTTGGCATCCTTCTCCTATTAAATAGGCATAAGCCTTTAAATCAAGATTTTATCAAAAATTTTTGAAATCTGTTTTGCATTAAGAAATGAATCCTCCAGGGGCGCCTGGGTGGCTCAGTCGTTAAGCATCTTGCCTTTGGCTTAGGTCATGATCCCAGGGTCACCTAAGAAATGGAGCACAATATGCACTGAAGTCCTCTTAGTGCCCTTTTTGATTTATCCCTTAGAAAACTGTTTTCTGGGCGCCTGGGTGGCTCAGCCATTTAACGTCTGCCTTCAGCTCAGGTCGTGATCCCAGGGTCCTGGGATCGAGCCCCACATCAGGTTCCTTGCTCGGCAGAGAAGCCTGCTTCTCCCTCTCCCACTCCCCCTGCTTGTGTTCCCTCTCTCACTGTCAAAAAATAAATCAAAATCTTTAAAAAAAAAAAAAAAAGAAAAGAAAACTGTTTTCTTTGTTTTTAGCTGTATCTGCCTTTTGAATCTTTCATATTTTGTACCCACACATGCTATCTATTTAAAAATATTAATAATTGAAAAGCATTCCTCAGTTTACTCCCTTATCACTTCATGTTTATATATTTAATTCTTTTTTTAAAAGATTTTTTTTTAAGAGATTTTGTTTCTTTTTTTTTAAAGATTTTTTATTTATTTATTTGAGAGAGAGAGAATGAGAGAGAGCACATGAGAGGGGGGAGGGTCAGAGGGAGAAGCAGACTCCCTGCCGAGCAGGGAGCCCGATGCGGGACTTGATCCAGGGACTCCAGGATCATGACCTGAGCCGAAGGCAGTCGCTTAACCAACTGAGCCACCCAGGCGCCCCTTTTTAAAAGATTTTATTCATTTATTTGAGAGAGAGAGCAGGAGCGGAGGGTGGAGGGGCAGAGGGAGAGGGACAAGCAGACTCCCTGCTCAGCACGGAGCCTGATATGGGGCTCAAACCCAGGACCCCAAGATCATGACCTGAGCCAAAGTCAGACGCTTAACCAACAGAGCCACCCAGGTGACCCTACTTAATTCTTGCATATTTCTTTAACTTCTAGTTCCCTGATCGTTACAATTTGCCTCTGAACTGTATATTTTATAATAGTTTGGGTTGGAAAGAAGGGAGTAGTAATTCATAAAAACAAGGTTGAAGGAAGATGGTGGACAAATAACTTTTGCCCTTCTTGGTAATAGGTTAACTCCTGTTCACAAGGAAGGGCCCCTTGTTTGGGTTCATGTCACTCAGGGATCTATAGAGCTGCTGAAAAACTTCAGAACTTTCAGCAATACCTACCTTTTTGATCTCCTAATAATCTAAATATTAGTGTGGACTTTTTTTTTTTATTATTTTTATTTTTTTAGTGTGGGCTTTTAAAAAAACACATTTTTTGTTTATATTCAAGGGATTGTAGAGCTTGAGGAAACTTAGGTATTTTCTTGTCCTCTCTTTTATTTAAGATGAGGAAATTGGTCCATTGAGGATAATTTATTTCCTGAAGCCACATAATTAATTAGTGGCAGAGATGGAAGGAGAATTCATTTCCTTACTCCCATGACAGTGCTCTTTGTGCTGTAACATACTTACAAGAAACCATCAGAGACCTCTGATGTATGAGATTGTTTTTAATTTTCCCTGGAGATCTTGGTTTTCCTTGGATTTTTCCATTGCAGGTTTCTATCACTGCTCAGATTGACTCCCATCTTAAGAGGTGGAGATAAAAACCAGTGCCTGAGTGTCTAGCTCCTGCCCCTGAGGAGTGGAGTCAGATACTACAGTCCCCAGTGGTTGTCTCTATCTTGCTTTGCCTTCTCTGGCTTGGTTGATGATCTCATACCTTGACGGT